TACATAATTAAGAAATTACCTTGTATCTTGTGAATTATTGACATTTTTAAAGATATAAGCTCATCTCGATGATACACTCAATACCTTTCATTTAAGTACCCACATCAATTTTTCATATATTTATATATATATTATATATACCTATATATGAAAAACATATCAAAAATGCATGTGGATACTCAAATGAAAGCTCTTGATGAGTGTAATATCGGGATGAGGTTATATTTTTAAAAATGGCAATAGTTAAGATAGTAAAGTGCAATTTAACAAAATTCATTATTTAATAAAGCAAAATTTTATTTATTTATAGTTCACAACTCACGGCAGTCAAATATAGTCAAAAAAATTTTTTTTTGACGCAGAAAAATTAATTAAAATTAAAATTAATAAATAAATGATTTTAACCAGCAACAAATACTACCTCAAAAATAAAAAGATTGAGATTAAACCAACCTAAAATGAGTAGGTACAGCGTAAAGACAGTAAATAACGAAAAGATTAAAGAGCGAGCGCGTAAGTAGTACGCCTCCGCAGAATGATGGATGCGATGCGGGAGACGCAACAGCTCCGAGTAGGTCGAGCTTTTCATTTCCATCCATCTCTTTCCTCTTTCGACCTCCCTCTTTATCATCATCAGGCTCATCCTCTCCTCAGTTCATGATGTCTCATCAGTTTCAAACCGTTATTACTCTTTCTCAGTTTTGGTTCTTCCATTACGGACCACAGACTCTAGAGCCAGCGATTCGATCAATTTGTAGCCGGGAATTTTCAGTAAACCCAAAATAATTATAACTCCTTATTCCAACTGTACTCTTTATTGTGTATTTAAATAATGAAATTTAATATGCTACTTAATTTTAATAGTTTCATTTGAAAACAATAAAAATGCCAATCTAAATGTTAATCCAATACCACACCCCCGGTGTCGACAAAAAGCTAAAACGCACCCGCCGCTTATGTCCAAGTAAAGGCGGGATACGAGTAGAGGGTTACGATCCGCCGGACAAAAAGTGTTAACAAGGCCAACATCCTCATGGTCAATTCTCCTATATTATATCCTCTATCCTCCGGTTGTGCCACACACATTTATTTATATATATATATATATATATATATATATAACTATAGCTATAGATATATGTTTTTTAGAGATACATCAGTCGCAGTGACTTGCTTACGAACTTACAACCCTATCCGACGAGCAGAGCGTGGCAATTATCTCGCTCTCGGTGTAAAAATAATAATTAACTGCCATTCATTACATTAATTAAAAATATCCAACACGTTAAGACACTTAATTGCTCATTTTATACCTCCACATGTTTTTAAATAATAAATACTAAAGACTGAGCCCATTTTTTACCCTAACCCCTCCTCTCATTCCTTTTAAATATTCAACACAAATATTATATCACTTGTTTCAAAAAATTAACGAGTAATTAAAATAAATTAAAAATAATAATAATAAAAAAATATTAAAAATTGAAACGATACTTGCCTGACGCACCTGTTTGAACTGCTCCTCGAAGCTCCAGCTGGAGGGCTGCTGGCTCGAGTTCGCGGAGTTGTTATTGTTCATGTTTGATTGCCCGTTGTCTCGCGGGTCATTGTTATTGCGAGATGAGCTCTGAGACGACTCGCTCGAGTGAGAACTGGCTGATGAAACGAGAGCATTTCCAGCAGCCGCGTCGCGGTTTTGTCCAGGGTTCAAGTGCTGGAGCTGAAGAAACGGGGCGGGAAACGGAAACCCAGGGTACCCGTTAGTCATAGCCGCGTGAATAGCGTCCAAATTTGACTTTGAGTTCATCATGTCAACATCAGACGGCTGAAAATTTTATTCAATTTTTGTATTCATGATTTATTTAATTGTTGATTACGAAACTTACCTCTTGTTTGAGTTTGCTGAGGAAATGTGGGTTCAAAAAATTGCCAATGTGTGAGGGCACTGGAAGAGGAGCACCGCCAATGTTTCCAGATGTGTTGTCAGATAAGTGAGTATTGTTCTGGAGAGGCTGTTGTGGTAATTCTTCTCCACTTTCCTCATCCTGGTCTGGATCCGATTCTTCCTCCTGATGTGACTGAAATAAAAAATTTTTATTATTATTCATTTATTATCTGTTTAATAACTTTATGTTAAATTGATTAAAAAAAATATTTATTTTTTATTGCTACTGTCTTTAATTGTTTACTAAATTGCATTTTGCTTTATTAAATAATTACTATTGTTAAATTGCACTGTACTTTTTTAACTATTGACATTTTTAAAGATATAAGCTCATCCCGATATTACACTCATCAAGAGCTTTCATTTGAGTACCCACATGCATTTTTGATATATTTTTCATATATAAATATATATATAATATTTATAAATATATGAAAAATTGATGTGGGTACTCAAATGAAAGGTCTTGATGAGTGTAACATCGGGATGAGCTTATATCTTCAAAAATGTCAATAGTTCACATGATACAAGGTTATTTCTGAATTATGTATCTAAAGATAGAGGATTTTCGAATGCAGCCTAAATACTTATCATCATAAATTGACTATTGGTGAGAATAATATGAAACCTTTAAAAAGCACAATAAATCATTGCAGTAAAATATTTAGACTTATTTTGGTCGATTTTAGTCGGCTTTAATCATCACACTAAAAATTTAACACTAAATTTTGACTTACAGGACAAATATATAAACAAACATAAATATAAATCAATGAATTAAGATCAAGCAAGTCTATGGTGACCACCCATGAAATAATGAATACGATATGTCGAGCACGTGGAACAATATTTACCTATTGGAGCAAGATGGATCCTATTCAAACTCCACGACAGGTTTCAGCAATATAATAATATTCCAACAAAAAGATCAAATGGATCAATTTTAACCGAGCAGACTAGACTTTGACCGACGACAAAATTTATTGACCGATATGCAAACAAAATTTTAAAACAGAATGACTAATAAAAATATCCGGCCAATGTTTGTCTGATTAAAAGCGCGCTGAATAATTCTATTTGGAATTTAGACTGTTCAACGCTCATGTATACTCATGTAACACACATCCGTATAACACAGAGATGCTCAAAAGAACCAGCTCAGAATCTGGCTGCAGATGACCAGGTAAAAGCGTGTCACCTTCAGCAAACAAATGGGCGCGGCAGGTCTCGATGCTTGAGGAAAAAATCACACCCACATCAAAATAGGCACACCTGAATCCATACATTTCAATCTTAATTCTTTTTATTTTTTTCGAGAGAATTAAGACGGTCTAATTTTTGTAAATTTTCTAGCGCAAAAAATATTTGTCAAGAGAAATAAGATGACAGTGATGATTAATTGAGATTCAAAAATAAAATTTTAAGGTGAAAAAAGTAAGTTAATATTAACAACAATAAACAAATTGTTTATTTTATTTTAGTGTTAATTTTATTTCAGATACTATATAATACTTTTACGACCCGAGGTGTCGAAAAGTCAGTGACATACATCAACTCTAGTCACGCCAGTTGACTCATGACAGAGCTACACTTAATATTTACTACTACTACACGCGCTAAGCTACAACTAGTGTGAGAACCAGTTACAGTAAGAATAAAGCCAGTGTACAGTACCAGTACATGATACAAAATACAGAATAAAGAAGTTAAGATGCGAATTACTTTACATTTCAGTACATACAAGTCGAGTTGAGTGTTATGTGTGTGCTGCAGAGAGATGTATAGTAATAGTAAGAGTATCGTATGATTGCGAGGAACATTATCATTTTCACAGAGAGCTCTACTACTTGACAGCCAGACGACACACGATATTGTTACACGGATTTCAGTCAAACATTCAGAGCTTAGGGCTTATGAAAATTTCTCTCTGTTTTTTTTTTTTATTTATATTTATGTTTGTGCATTAATGCGTGAACTATAATAAGGATAACGAGAGAGACAATGACTAAATTTAGCGAGAGATTCAGTAGCGAGTTTGTATACCTTTTGGATAACGTGGCGAACGCGATAATCCGAGAGACAAGATTTATAACCGCGGGTGGATCTCACTCGTACATCAGCCTTACGTCTGTTGCAACAAATGTGTTTATAGTTTGTAGTCTTAGCTTATAAATCCCTGGAATAGTTTTATCATTCATCTTGATATCATTATTATTATTATTATTATTATTTTATTTATTTTTGATGATTTATAAGAAGATAATCACAAATTAATTTGTAATTATTTTTAAATATTGAAAAAAAATTTATTAAATAAAATAATAATTAATATTGATGGATAAATAAATGTTTTAGTAATAAGTAAAATCAACAGATTAAGTGTAAATTGCGTTAGCAAAGTTGTTGCGGGATTCACCCACGCATTCACTGCGTGAGATTTTTTGCGGGTGTCCTTATGACAAACTGCAGAGGGAAGTACGCACGCGCCTGCACAGAGGGGTGCCAAAGTCAAGCTAGTCGCAACAATTCACTCGTATTATTTATTTATAAACACAATTAATAATATTTAAATTGATTTGATTTTTTTCTGTATATTAAATAAAAGAAAATATTTTTATTTCAATTGTAAATTTTTTTCCAAGAATATTAAAATTATTATGTATTAGGTACACATTTATGATAGCATTATATCATATTTTATAGCGAAGATAGGCGTTATCACCTGCTAAATTCATATTTGTATTAGTATTTTAAATTTAATCAGAAAATTAACTGTCTTTCCGTACAATGCGGCTTTAACTACTGGCGTAATTACAATGACACTATTATTGATGATATCGCTTTCAGATTAATAATGATAACCAATTATGCAATTTAAATTTATATAACCGGTAAAATATATATATATATTCATGTAATAATGTACTGACTTAATCGCAATTGAATGTTAAATGCTCGGTATCTTCGGCCATGAATTTTTTTTCTTTTCGTTACACTTTATTTATAATATTCACTAAGCTAGAATATTTTATTTTTATAATATTTTAAATTGTTATTATGCGGGTATTGTTCAATAAAAATTCCATTCGATAGATTAGCTGTAATAAAATGGAACAATATAAAATACGGGGCAATTAAAAAAATTATAGAACCGTTGTTTATTGGATAATAATCCATAAAATGACTCTTTTTATTTTATATTCTTGGAGAATAAGATTGGAACAATGAATCATTTGTATTTATGTATTTTTAATATAAAGGAGACCACGATGTCGTAAAAATTAAAATATATATCTAATTTTATTTGCAATATTTAATATTTAAATTATTTTTTATAATTAATTTACATTAAAGTTGTTATCAAAAATTTTTTTAAATAATTAAAAAAATATAAACTCAATAATTAAAAAGTGTCAAAAAATTTTTTTCAATAAAACTAAATTTATTTTTCAGTGCATTAAAATGAAAATTGAAAATTGAACAAACAAAGGAAGGAATAAAAAAATTAGCGAGGGCGAGGCATCACAATAAATGGTTCGTACATTTTATCCGAACATAATAAAACGAAAGCATATAAGTACGTACAAGAGTTGGTCGAGAACCCCTGCAGAGTTCCCACGTAGACATCACAGCTTCATCTTATCCCGCGTCCTCGCTTATAAATAAATATATAAATACAAATATAAACACGAGTAATACATCGATCGTCATTCTATATAGAAATACAGTATACAGTATAGAGTACCATTATAAAATACTTTTAATACCGATGATAAACTGTCCGGATAAAAATCATCCATACAAATCACCCGAATCAGATCCACGATTGCTTAAATATCCGCGTGATTAATCACCCCTCAATCCGATACAGACTGAGGTCACTATTTTTTTCCCCACGACCTATCAATCATACATTTTATCATTTTCATTATACTATACATATATTATCATATCCGGTCCCACACATGCAGACAATATTTTAATTTTTAATATCTCTTTTTCTATCATATGTAATTTTATTTATAACTTATACGAATCGTGTAAAATATAAATCGAGGCTTGGGGTGAAAATTAAACTGGAGTAAAGGAGAAAGATGTTTGGCTCCGCCAGATTTAATTAATGACCCGCCGAGTTTGATCTGCCGCTACAAAGCCACCCATAATAATAACAATAATAATAATAATAATAATAATAATAATAATTGTAGCAATAATAACAGTAACAACCTTTTCTGTGACATATACACATGCATTAATATAAATGTATACCGTCCCATTACATTCGTATCGCATCTTTTAAAATCAACTCACACACACACACACACACACACACACACACGATCTACAACATAATAATAAACATATAAATATATAAATATGTGGTTATTTCTGTCCTACACTTGTACATATATGTTAGTGTAGGGTCGGTCTGCCCTCGCTGCACCGATTTCTCAATTTTATTTTATACGTTTAATATTATTTCGTAGCCAGACCCAATAAGAACAGATCGCGGTAATTTACGGAGCCGGAATGTTACTTTCGGTGGAATAAACATTTTTATATGCACCTAATGCAAAACAAGGAGTTGAGTTTGATTTTTTATAAAAAACAGGGATGACCTGGCTTGACATTACATGGACTTTTTAAATCCGCAAATACTATATGGGGATTTGTGAGTCACATTTACTATGACTTCTTTTGTGAGTTGTGTTGTCGAGCAGTGAGTAGTTGACAGTTTACTTGGGCTCCTTTTATTATTCACTATATACTTGCTTGTACTCATAACTATAGGACGAGTATAAACTTGGGCCAATCCAAAATAAAAATAAAAAAGATACAATTTTGTTGTTCTTGTTAATATTTTGTCTCTTACTAATGAGTTGTACTCTAACACGAATTATTGCGAGTGTATATTTTGAACTTGACCCACTTATAAATAGACTTAAGTATTTATTGGGTTACTATTAATTATTTTTAGAAATTTTCCGAGGGTTATTTTCAAGTTTTTAATTTTTACAATGATATTAAAAATTTTCAAGAAAACATTTTTAAAAATTTTTTAAGATTGACTTTTAGTCAATAAAATTTATAAGCTATAAATAAAAAGCGTAATTAACAAAAGTATCATAATTTAGGAGACAAAAAGAGAGACAATATTAATAG